ATTGTGAAGAAATAACAGTGCTATTAAATTGCATATTGCATGTGATCCAATCTTTAGACACGACGTACCTGAGACCGAATAAACGTCCTAAGTCTACATGTTGACGTATTTAAGTGTTTCCGATGTTAGGGTTGTCAAGTTGGCTGTGGTGCGTCCCGAGGTCACTTTTTTTGTTCCAATTACAAAAATGAAGTATCAATAGAAAGGCTATGAACCAAGCTATCTCTCTGCCATACTATTATTTATCTTTTGAAATGACGGTGAGATTTACATAAATTTTTAAAATTGCGATCCAAATTCCCAAATTTATTTTCATCTAGCTTTCGGCATCCAGCTTTCGGCAGAATGCAAGAAATTTAAAAGATCTTCAAGTAGATATGAACCGTAGTGGTAATGTTTTATTTCTGCTTCTTATTTAACAATCAAAGTATTTATTTACATATGTATTCGATTTCTATAGGTAGGATACGCAGCGCGCTATACGCTCCTACTGTTTCCTTGCTGTCAACCAAGCAGCAGCTTGTACCTTAGGCCAATTTAGTAGATCAACTCTCCTTTTTCTGCCATAGTCAGGTCAAAGCTTGCGTGGTAACTTACCATCTCTACCGTGTTAATTTAAAAAGTGTATTTGACTTAAAACGTATCCCAGTATTTTATTAAGACTAGGAGCGTAGACAAGGGAATTTGGCATGGCTAAGCTAGCTTAAGCTTGGTTTCAGCTGATTCCACATCTAGAAGTATTGTCTGGGAAAGTCACTTATGAGTTTTAACGCTGTTTAACCTATTGAAAGGCGAAGATTTGCTAAAGTGCACACGTTTTTCTCGGCTATTCCGTTTAATCGATGTGGATGGATGGCGGTCGGATTCCTAGGACGATGCTGTCGTTCCTCGTAGAATGAGATATCTCTTATACTTAATACAGTTAGGCTGGGCTCGGTTCAGTCCTTGGACCGCGTAATGACAACCAATTTGGTATTTTGCGCCTCTATTCAGGGGGTGGCTATGTACTTCTTTACGGGGAAAAGAAAGGCGAAACTGTGAACCCCCTTCTATTTCTATGGCAAAATCAGGATACACACCTTCAATCGAAGAAGAATAATAATAACTGACTTCTCTGTTTCCTAAACTCTGAATCTGACGGTTATTGTGAACATTTGATAATAAAGTACTTCAAAGTTTTTTTGTAAATCGGTGATGGGCACTGCCTTACTCGAGGGCACGCTAAGCTTTCTATACATTTTGTATAATCGTATGCAGCGTAAAAGCTCTCCCTGCGCATCGCTGTAAATCACTGATGGGCACTGCCTTGCCCGCGGGCAAAGCTCCTTTAAGCTTTCTATACATTTTGTATGGGCGCAAGCAGAGTAAAAGCTCTCTTTCCCCAACGCCGCTGTAAATCCATCCACTAGTTAACAAAGAAAGCTTTCAATATCCACAATGTCTGCACTCCAAGAATGATAGAATACAAGATTGCGCCGATTGCAGCAGAATTCGTGAGAGTAATTTTGGCGTGACGTCACCGTAGAGTTGACAACTGAGAGCGGCAAATAAAACTGCTTCTGTAACCAGTTAGCGACAACAAAACCGATACCGATTTGAAAATTGTTGCTAACTAATCTGTCGCTAACTGGTTACAGAATCTGCCTACAAAAATGATATCGTCCGATTCAGCTGGAACAAAAACGCTTCAAACAAGTGAGAGTTTCACTGTATTATGGCCTCGAAGCGACATATATACGTCTTTCATTTGAATCAGTATTAAAAGCTCTATTGGTTCCTACATTCGGGCTTTGATAGGCGAGTCTCCCCTGAACCGTTTTTTTCATATTTTTGTCATATGTGCGCTTTTATTCGAAGCCTAAATGTTTCGGTACCGAGTACCGAGAGTAATGGACGGATGAAGAAGTCTTTCAGGGGGGAGATCTGTAACCAGTTAGCGACAAGTTTCGGATCGATATCGCACTTGTTGACGTAAAAATATTTCATATCATACGTTAATAAAACCGATACCGCTTCGAAAATTGTCGCTAACTAATCTGTCGCTAACTGGTTACAGAATCTGCCTACAAAAATGATATCGTCCGATTCAGCTGGAACAAAAACGCTTCAAACAAGTGAGAGTTTCACTGTATTATGGCCTCGAAGCGACATATATACGTCTTTCATTTGAATCAGTATTAAAAGCTCTATTGGTTCCTACATTCGGGCTTGGATAGGCGAGTCTCCCCTGAACCGTTTTTTCCATATTTTTGGCATATGTGCGCTTTTATTCGAAACCTAAATGTTTCGGTACCGAGTATAGAGAGTAATGGATACTTAAAGGTATTGACTCAGCACATCACTACTGCTGTCATCTCGACTGTGAAGTCAGCAAAACAGCTGATTCTGTCAAATTCATTGAGTGCCGATTAGCGGTATTGCCATCGGCGCCACCTTCTGTATTCTCTCCACCGTGTCTGCACTCTTCATTGTGGGCACATCATTTGTGCAGTGTTATCTTAAAAAGGGTGGGTATATGTGTCGAACCAATGAGATCTTATTCAGTAGCGATTAGTATGTACTTTCTAGAATAGAATATCTTCACATTTGTAGGAAATGTTCATGCAATAGATTTACGCTCACTAACTAGTGTCCAAGAAATATCAAGGTTACGCGAATAGAAAAAAACCAAAACATGTGTATGTATATTGGGTTCAATATTTGTATATTAGCAGTTAAAATTCGGTTGATGTACTTACATATGCGATATAAAAAGCAGCCAACTGATAGTGGAAACATCATCTTTCTGTAGTCTGAACCGTTTTATGACATTAGCTCTTCATCATCCGTAGAGCTGCAAAACTATCGATGACACTATCGATAGTATCAATTTGACACCACAATCGATGAAGCAAAGAATTGCCAAAAATCCACAATAAGCCCTAGCCACTTCAAACTTGCATTTTTTTACTAAAACTTAATGGACTACAAAAGCGTATACTCAAAATTTTTCTGAGAAATCTAATTAAAAAACTCAATATTTTGATGACTCGAAGAATTCGAATTTTCCTTGTTTTAATAAATTGTTTAAAATTTACACTTGGAACGCGTTTTTTTGTTGCTTAAAATAACTTATTTTATTATTTATAATAAAGCACACTAAAACATTTCTGTTTTTTTCTACTTATATTACCATATTTAATATAAATAGTGCCGTAGTAAGGATAGCATATTTTTCTCATACCGATAGTTTCGATACTATCGAATGGTGAGGCCAAAAGCTATCGGAAATATCGAATAGTCCATCCATCGATAGTTTTGCAGCTCTAAACATCCGGAAGTCTTATAACTAAGTAGGTTAGCTCATAGTGAAATAAGAACTAAACTATTAACTATTGGAAAAACTTACACAAGTTAAGCTTTAGCTATAGGCTAGGTTGGAGAAGTAGCTACCACTACTAACTGAGGTACACGTATACAGGGAGAGAGATTGGACGGTGATTGCGCAAAAAATAGTCCTGAAAGCGGCTAAGGGCCACCTTCACCAAGTTTGGTTAACACTAACTCCTAGTTGAACATCGTTATCGACATTACGGACTCTATGTTATATGTGTTACCGGCCAAACCCAATCTTACGACAAACTAGTTTTTCTTATGCTAAACTAGTTCTAACTAGATCTACTATATCTTGTTTCCGCGCTGGACGAAACAATATTGTGGACTGCGTAGCTGGAGTTGGACTGATGAGGGTTATTTTTTTGAAGTGCGGCCGAAGCCCGCCATCGCGGGAAGGTGTTCTGCACAAAAATACGGTGTCACCTAATCTGGTTCAGCTTAGGCAAAACTAGTTTGTCCTAAGATCGGGTTTGGCCGGTAACATATGCATGGAGACGGTAGTGTCGATAACGATGTTTAACTCAGAATTAGTGTTAACCAGAGATTAATGCGTTGGCGTTGGCGTCGCTTCAACAGCTGACTATGAATACATGAATTCCAATGCCAACACGAAGTGGAAATATGGCCAACTCTCAAATTTTCGTGTGCGTTGTTCGTCAACAGTTGCAAAATAAATAAAATTATGTGAAATATGTTTCCTTTTAAACAAATGCGAGCAAGAAATATCGTTATCAATGCAATTATTGATATGAAATGTTAATTTATTTGGCGTTATTAGGTTAATTTAGTGCCCAAAGCATTCGCTGCCAAGCGTTCATTGTAGCAAGCATACTTTAACGTGCGTTCGGTCAAACCAACGCCAAAGCCAACGCGAAAGTTCTATGTGAACCGGTCTTTACTGTCTGTCCGTCCGTCTGTGCACACTATAACTCGGATAAAAATTTAGATATCTTAACGATACTTGGTACGTGTACTGTTTTTCAGAGTAGAACGGATGGTATTGAAAATGGGCGAAATCGGACTGTAACCACGCCCACTTCCCATATAACGGTATTTGGTGGAAATACGAAGGCTGCGATATTTCAGTAACTACTGAAGCGTATTCACTCAAAACTGATATTTAGCAGGACATTTTGGTGGAAAAAAAGAATATTATAAACGCTGGAACAATGGGCGTAGCCCCAATTATAATTACTTGTATATATATCGGTAACCGGTAAATTGTCGTGGCTCCGTCTACTTATAACCACATAACGTCAGATAAATTTTAAACCCTACTTGAAAAAAAACTATACTAAGGCAAACTGAACATACTATCGAAGATGTTTGAAATTGGGGTAAAAGCACCCCTGCTTGCAATATAACGGTTGTTTTGTAATAGATGAATCAACTATCTTTAAACGTGCTCCAGGTATTTCATTTTCGACTTCGCCTGAGCTTATTTTGATTTCGTTTCTACCGAAAAATTTTGCCTTTGCTTTGGTGTTCGTTTCTTTAATTGTGGTACACAACTCAACTCAACTTTGAAAACGAGTTGTCTGTTATTTGTCTAGCACTAGCATCCTCGGGCTCATCGGTAAAACATAATTCGTAACTGATCACCATTTTTTTGCTTTTAGCAATAATAGTTTTAATATCACTAAAATAATATAATATTATGAAAATAACAAAATTTGTATCGAATTTCCGACTTTTTCAATGGCTACACTCAATTGAAAACAGTTGTGAACGGCAATAGCAATAATTAGTTTAGTTTTGTACAAGCTGAGTTGTCTCAGACACAACTCAACTAAGTTGAATTGTGAACCATAATAGGGGCCGATATCACCATTAGATTTCTTTACTTGTTCTTATGTATACCCTTAAAGGTAGGTATAATCCATTAAATTTCCTTTACTTAATTTCAAATCAGGTCCACTGTATTTGATATGTATTTCTACAGTCGTTCGTTGGGTAGTTGCTGGTTTTACTGCTGTGCTGATATTTACCACTTTTGCTGTTGTCGTTGTTACTGTTGTTTTTTGCTGTCATTAATTTAACCGATGTTGCTGCTATAGCCGCTTTTATTATAAATTTTAGTTGCTTGTTTTGTGCTTGTGTCACTAGTACATACACGAATATGTATGTATGCATGTGTGCATGTGTTTTCTGCTGCTTTAGAGGTTTTAGTCGACATTGACGTTACCATCGCATGCTTTACCTTCAGCCCGACGTCCCACACGTCCCTACATCGATCGACTGTCGCCTGCCATTTACCCTGTTTTGCCTTTCGTACTCTACTGTTATCATCATTTCAGGTCGGTCCGTCGGTCGTCCGTCCATCCGACCGTTGCCAGTTAAGCAACCAGACAGCCAACCATAGCTAGCAAACGAGCGCACACCATTCAACTCAGCAGCACCAGCACCAATTCAAGTCAACTCGCTTCAGTTCATTGCGATTCGTTGCGATGTAGCCCGGTCTGGCCTGGCTTGGCTTGGCGCGGCACAACTTTTGCTTGTGCGGAGTTTCTTGTTTTCCTTCTCGTTGTGGCGTAGTACTCATAGTCGACGTTGCTTGTCGTAATTTTTGTCGATTTTATTAATTCCCCTCTCTCCACTTGGTTTTTATTTTATTTTTGGTTGGTTTCATTTATTTTTTTTCTTCTTTTCTTTTGTGTGTGCTTTAAGTAATTTTGTTAGTTCTTCGGTTCGCATTCGAAATACGCTCTACTACGAACATAGAGCTACAATTCAGTGATTTTGGTTAGTAAAGGAAAGCTCTTAAGTCAAGTTAGAATATGGTCTAATTGCTTGTTTGGTTCTTAAAAGTTCAGTTACCTTAATTCATTGTAAAACAGTAATGGGAAGAGAGCTTTAACTATGTATGTATACGTATCTACAAAATATACAGAATTCTTGGAGAAGATCTGCTCGCTGTAGAAGGTGGTGCCCACGCCTGATGAAAAAACTGTGTTCTAAAGTCAGAAGTGAAGTATAGAAAATCTACGCATTTAATTTTTAAAAATCCTATTGAACGATACAAATTTTAAACATTTTATATGTTTCTACTCTAAGTTATCTCATATGCCTATCTCACCGAAAATCCTTCCTTTATACTTTCAGGGCCGGATCAAGATGTAATAGGTATTGCTGGCACCGAAAGTTCCTGGTTTACCTCAGTCTCAGCCGAAAGCGAAAACGGCCGACAGAAGCAGTTATCAAAGCTTTCGGATGGTAGTTAAAGTTTACAGCAATGGCACACAACAGATGCAACCGGAACTACCAACATTAGTACCAGAGTACCAATAGCGGGAAGTCCGAAGGCTAGTTCCTCTCGCAATATTTATAGAAACGAACCGTGGGACATGCAGCGCAACCTCCAAACGTCCTGCGCCCTCCAGCAATAAGCTCATCACCCAACGAATAGGATTTGTTAAGCTTGCTTGCACAGGACTTTACAAGAAATAACTATTTCCCAAGCCGCATCTTCGATTCCCGTATTGCTGCTTTAGTTCAGTCAGGCTGTTTGAATGGACTAGATCCAGAGAAGCGCTGTTGGATGGATGAAAGGCGCTAGTTTCCATACCGAGCATTTCTACGTATCTAATAAAGTACTTCACATCGCCCGCGGCCACCTCATCAAGAGTTGGAACTTGGTATGAATGAGCAGAATGCTGTTCCAACAGAAGCGTTATGCTTGACTATATAAGATACCGCACAGACGAGGTTAACGACAAGTTTTTATCTACATATGTATATGCACTTATACGTATTCCAACACTAGGGCTATTGTTTGCGAGACTACATTTATAAACAAGCCCTTTTCTAACAATTGTGAGAGGTAGCGGTAGTGACACCTTGCTAGTTGAGGGTCCCTCTTTACTTCCGTCGGCCTACATGAGCGTGATCCAAAGAGCCAACGGTTATCTATATGCCCCGCGTGCTACTGAGCTCCTGTAGATCTCTTGTGACCTAGAGTAAAATGTTCGGCTTGATTCCGGAACGAGCCTCTAAAATGTAAATCTCTCTTTATTTCTTGGAAATATCACTCTCCTCCAGTTAACTTCTTTATATTACATTCTTAGGTCCCTAGACACCAGAATGACAGCAAAATCGGATGGTTTATGAGCCTCATAGTTTCTCACAACAGCAACAGAGCTTCACCTACATATATATGTACATAAAAGGGAATATTTCTCAAAAAGCTTGTTTTGGAGTTAGGCATTTTATGCATTTATTGATTGCATCAGGGAAATTTTCAAACTAAGGCAGCTATGCCTGTGCTGGTTGGTGGTGTAGCTGCTGGTGCCATGGGCTCTTAAGTCGTTGCGAGTTTCACTTTGGCGCGCGTGGCACACAACACTACATCGATGGCAATGCGACACACACACACACACATAAATACATGCATACCCAATTAGCCACAGAACGAAGACGGGCTCGAATCAATTCGACGGCGTTATAGTGAACTCGCCTTATTGAACTTGAAAAACTTTCCGAAATCAGTTCGAGTTTTGAGCCAGTTTAAACTTGTACTCTTTATAAATACTAATTATATAAACGGGATTTAAAATTGGCTTTTTAAAAATGGCTTTTTAATTCTTAAAATTCATTGAAACTTATGGACCTACAAAAAAGAACAAAATGAATTAATTTAAATAATTTTTTAAAAAGAAATAATTTTTTTTTTGTGTTCTTGTATATTTGTTTTAACAGAGAAAATAAGCAATACTCCTGAAGATGCTAGAAAAGGTTTAGCGAAACTTCGAGTAAAAAGTGGAATAATGTAATTTTCATTGCACCAAAGCTTAAAGATCAGACTAGCCTATAAACATAAAATTAAACAAATTTGAACCGATCGGGCAAAAATATATTAAAAAAATGTGTTTTAAAATTGTAGTATGGCATACATTTTTTCGCCTACGTGTCTTATTTACAGCCCGCCGGCGAACTGTGCTTTTCATCTTCGGACGAGTTCAGCAGCGAGCCATCGACGATGAACGGTGGCGTACAAATTGTTCACCAGAAAGTTGAAGTCGATACGAAGTCATTTGGCATATTGGGTATTTATACTTACGTACGCACTAAGTATATACACAAGTATTTATTCGCCCATTTTCGTACGTCGATTCGTTATATCGTGGATGGAACGTCCTCGAACAAACTCAAAGTACACAAAGCACCGGTTGCAACAATAACAAACAGGCAATCGAGCAATAACGATGGTTCAGACAAACAACAGTAATAGCAGCACGTCAACGGCAACGGCGCAACAGGAACGACTGTGGCTATGGCGGCAACGACAACAGCCGCAATTGACGCTAGTCCGATAGAGTCGGCGGAGCCAAAGTATAAGCTACAGCATTTGCAGCGGTGCTGGGCGATGTACACCGCTCGTTTCTGTAAGCCTAACTGGATGGCTGTTGGCACAAATGCCTGCTTCGTTAGCACCGCAATGCTGTGTGACTCGGCTGAAGTGGTTTGGTTGATGTGGCGCGACAAAGTAATCGCATTTAGGTACAGTGGTGCAGTGCCACACTGGTTCGATTAGGACTTTTCGCTTCTAAAGCCAAATACTGCGATATAATTCCATGATCTACTCAAGGTTTGATTAATTAAATTGCAACAGATGTCTTCGTCAGGCATTGGGGAGCATCCATAGACAATTATTTGAAGCGAAAGGCCCGCCCGCGCCAGGTCCGCCAATGAAGAACGTTCGTCAGGCAACGCGACGTCGAGAATATTCAGTTCAACGGATAGCCGAAAAATGTCGCAATCGGCTCTCAGTACTGCAAGAAACTCTTCTTTGACGTGATATAAGTGAGCAGTAGCAATCCATCTCCCAGTCTCTTCGTGCCGCTGCGGAGGAAGTGGTTGGATACTACCGCCCACGCAAGAGGAACTGTTATTGCCGGACAGTATCGTATTTCTGCTGCGGAGAAATATACAGCACACAAAGCAACCGTGCAGCCAATAGCTATGCGGGCGACAGGTTAATGGTACCAGGGGATGAGGATATAGCAGAGAACTTTATTCAAAAGATATACCAGAGGCTGAAATACGTGAATGCGAAGGGTTTCAAATGTTGGCAGACAGGAATGCGGCTGGAAAATTCTATAAGAAAATAAGGCAGCAATCAAATGGTTTCAATACCGGGGCTGGGGAGGCCATCAATAGGGCGGCTTAAAAGTAACGTGACTACCGGAGCCGACCGTATACCGGCTCCGGCGGCGAAGAGGTGGTCGGCCGCCCGAAGATTGGAATGTCAGGGTACCTTATCCAATTCACAAGAAGGGAGATCCCGAAGTTTACGCAATACTGCTTGAAAGACCCAAGCCCTTCAGGAACCAAATGATTTGACTTACTCAGTGTTGCTTCAGACCTAGTATGTCAGCCAACTTTCAGCTCCGGAAAAATCGGGACGGACCTCTCCGTTAGAGACCAAACGAGGCTCTATATAAAAGGCGATTCACTCTCGTGCTGGAAAGGTCATAAGAGCTGGCAATCCGGGTCGCAGCGGCACCACACATAGCAAAACCTGACCTGAAACCCAGTAATTCAGCGCAGCACTTTGCAGCTTAGAAAAAGAAGATCAGAGAGCGGTGAACGAGGACAGGACAAAGTACTTGCTGGTTACACATACAAAGTCTTCGCATATTAGGACACACGTCAGTGATGACAGTCATAACTCTGAAGTAGCGAAGAATTTTATCTACCTGGGATCCAGCATATACATTACCTAAAATTCCAGCCTGGAGATAAAGTGAAGAATAACTCTTGCCAACAGTTGCTACTTTAGTCTCGGTAGCCAATTTAAAAGAAAAGCGCCCTGCTGACGAACAAACGAATCTCTCATCATGCCCGTGCTTTTATGTGGCGCAGAGATATGGACGATGGGATATTGGGTAAGCGGAGAAAAGTTCTTTCGACTACGCACCCATTGGTGGACAGCGAAAGCTCTTGCGCTTACGAACTAAATGGAAGGACGAAGTGCAGAAGGACCTGCCCGCACTTGTGATGAACAACTGAGCTAAATCCGCAAAAAAGAGAGGCAACTGACGAAAGTTTTTGGTCTCGACTCAAACCAATAAACGGTTGCCAACTATGAAGAAGAAAGCTTTGCTATGAATTTTCTTTGAATTACTTTTACTTCTTTTTTAATATGGTTATGTAAATAAAATAATAACATTTAAGAATTCCCTAAAAGCAAGTAGGGCTAATACAAGGTTTGATTTCGAAACAAATGGAACTTTTGAAGATACATTTGTCTTTTTTATATGTAAGAGTGTCTGCTTGCTTCTTTCTCTAAGATTTGTCATTGTGATGTAATAATACGGTTTGTGGCGGAAGTTGTGGAGCTTTTAGTAGCAAATTTCGGCAATATTTCCAGGTTGCACAAGCGGTGGGTGCAGCCTTTCAGTATCACTTACCCCTCATTTTCTTGCAAGATATCCTTAATCCCAATAACCGATCGGTACATTCATTCATCGCTTAGTCGATTTGGGACAATAATATTAACAATAAAAAAGAATATAGCCATAAATACACGACGACAATATTATCTGTAAAGGCACTTAGTATCGTAGGTAAAAATCTACGAAAATAGGAAATGTGTACCGGGAGCAATATGGGTAAACTGAGTTGGCTGAAAATAGTATGGCTGTCTTGTCATGAAATGTGAATGAGATAGAATGCTTTTTCAAAATAGTGCCCGTCGGTTCGACGTAGCATATCTTTTTCCGATTAAAAATATCTAATTTGAAACAGAGACGTAACTAATATGATGAGATCAGGAAATATTTTCTCCGTATTAGCTACCTGAAAAACCGAATCGCCCACTGTTCCCCAACTGCGACTCATATAACATAAGTATGTATAGCCAACAGCTTAACGAACAAAGAGCAACAATAACGATGCAAAAATAATAAAAAACAAAAACAACAGCATAAAGCTTCCACACACATCGACAACGACATCACCACCGGCAGTAACAACGGCAATGGCGCGCACCTAGGCACCAGACAACATCAATGCACGAATGCTACCTCAGCTGCGGTACATTTGTGGAGCCATGTATTGAGGGTATGAAAAATTACGTTTAACTGAAATTCATGGAGAAACCAAATTTAAAAACTAAAAAAATGCGTCGCAAGACTGAAAATACTTTTTGCCAGCTGTATGCTAGGGCACATACATACATAAGTAACTACATATATTTTGTGTATGTATATTTTCTTCTTCTTATACTACTTCGAGTTGATCGCGAACGCACCCATCTTATGACCGACTGCCACTTGAACGCAACGTAAATTTAGAATGCTGAGTGTCGTCATCGCCGGAATGTTTGGCTTTTTCACTTTATTTTTTATTAATTATTGCACTGAGGTATTGATGTGTCTGACTTAAAAATAAACATCTAATTTTCGTTGGAGTCTTCGCATAGAACCGACAGATCGCACCCACTGTCATTGTCATTCGCGCATTCATTCAGTGGTTCACACACGCGCGTAGTAGACTGCACCCGCTCGGGAGATCGAGCTTTTATTTTATGTAGCAGGCATGCGGTCAGTTTGTATACTACTGCCTCATCCAACCCAACCTGTCAGCTTTCCCACCCTTTCATCTATAATTAGCGTACATTCTGAGCGTCCGTCTGTTGATCGTCACTCCAGATTTTGAAGAAGTAAAATCTCTACCAACAACATCCGTAAGCAAAGTATGCAAACACGTATGTATGTGTATGTATGCATGCGGTGGATTTTGAATTCTTCAAACTTTCAGCACATGTGTAGCTTTCTTTAGCTTGTTTCTATTCTTACTTTTCCTGTTGCCGGCATTGCTGCTTTCTTCTAATTTTTTTTAGGTCATTTATTAGTCACGGAGCTGCACCAGCAATAATTCTTCCGCCGTTACTTCTCCCCATCAGCTCTTGTAAATTGAAGGGAAAAAATCTTGCGCTAATTGTTGCCACTCGTCACAGCGTCGCACCAGCAGCAGCAGTTGTGGCGACTGCAGCTTTTCCATCACTCGCCACTCACAGTTGGGTGCCTATGTACACTAGGGTGGTCCAAAATAAACAAGTTTAAAATGTTAAAATGCCTTACCTCCTACGATTTTTCTAAATGGATTAAAAGAATACCCATATTTTTTGTTTAATAAAAAAATTATATTTAGAGCTGCCTCAAAGCCAATAAAGTTTTACATGTATTTTATATGGGGAAACGTCGTTTCTTGAAAATCAATACTTTTCTATCGGAAAACTCTGTTTTTCTACAGAAGACCTCCTTTTAGAAAAATGCTGGGGGGATTAACATTTTAAACTTTTTCCCGCGTATTTTTGGATCACCCTACTGTACATACTTACGTATGTACGTACATAGGTGATCAGCAACTACTGTGCCTGCCCATCCGCTTTACATAAATGTATATTCCCATTGCTGTCTTCCCGCAGCTGGCCGGCGGTGGGAGCGTGTCCCTTCTGGCTCAGAATTTAATCGATCAATTTTTCTGCAGTTGTTTGTTTTATTAGTTTATTGGGGAATCGAATGCGGTTGCGAGATTCAATTGTGATGTAAATTCGTAACTAGCTATCATCTTTCCTATACACTTATTTGTCTTTGAAGATGTGTTTACTTGAGGCTGTCTCTTTTTTGAAATACAAGATCAACTATCTATGTATTTTCATTTCTGGTTGGCTAATTCATAACACAAGCTATTATTTTAATCATTTAATTCACCCTATAAAAAGCAATAAATATTTAGCGTTCACACACTCTTCTACATGCTTGGTCGAGTTTGTACTTTGATTAGTGTTGTGGATCGCGAGCTAAGCTTTTTAAAACTTTCTGAAGATTCCATATCAGAAATGATCGGATTTTCATTCTAACCTTTAGATTACATTAGATTTGTATAGAACCAATAGTCAGTACTGATTTTTACTCGAACCGGCAAATTTTTACTGGACAAGTAATTTTTAGCAAAAAAAACCGACTTCAACTCTCATATAAAAAAGATATATATATATATGATCGGATCTTAACCAGATTAGTATGGGACCACCTCTGAGACACTACCTTTCCGATGCAAAAAGAATTATCGAAATCGGTTGACGTGGTCCAAAGTTATGCGGTAACATACAGAAAAAAAATTAAAAAAAAATTTATAAAAAATATTCCGACGAACTGATAACCTGCTCCTTTTTTGGAAGTCGGTTNGGTAACCCAAAAAATTTGCAAGAGAGCACTAAATCGAGAGCGTAACAACGCGGGAGAGCTGCAAATTCTTGCAGAAATTTGCTAGCTGAAGAAGAAGAAAAAGAAGAATAAATATCAAAAGCCGCCATTTGTTGAATTAATTTAGCACAAACAAAAGTAAAATGAGTGGAAATCAAAATATTAATGATGTACTGGACTGTGTAAGTGCTTGTGCGTAGAGCAAAGAGTTTAAAACGGATTTATAAATAGTAAAATGTTTACAGCAGAATATCAAAACGGTGCAACAACTATTCACTTGCAAGTTTTTACTAGTTTTGTGTTCAATAACTTTTTCTGCTAGTTTAATCTTTGTCTCACTTTTACGCTCTGNCTAAAAAATATTCCGACGAACTGATAACCTACTCCTTTTTTGGAACTCGGTTAAAAAGTGTACGGTAACCAGGGTTGCCACTTTGGTAAATTGTTACCAAAATTGGTAGAAAAANCGTAGAGCAAAGAGTTTAAAACTGATTTATAAATAGTAAAATGTTTACAGCAGAATATCAAAACGGTGCAACAACTATTCACTTGCAAGTTTTTACTAGTTTTGTGTTCAATAACTTTTTCTGCTAGTTTAATCTTTGTCTCACTTTTACGCTCTGTTTTGCTTTTACGCTCTCGCTGCAATGTTTTACTGGAGAAGTTACTATACAAGCCTATGTCGCCTTTCAGACACGTCAAGTCTTGAAAGCAATTTTTTTCGCATTCTCTTTTGTGTTTTCTATTTGCTTCCACACGCGTCAACTTTAATTGAATTCAAGTCCTTGGTTCTTTAAATGGGAAGCAACGAAAAGATCAAAAGAGACAAGAAAACTTGAAACGAATTGACGGTACGGAGGTATCTGTACTCTTCCCCAGACATGAAAGCAAGACTGAAAGGGGACTATTGATAATGACAATGGCATTTTAAGGCGTTTTTGTGGTTAGGTTTGTATGGGAGGTATGCATTAAAATAAATCAATCACGCCCATTTTTCGCCTTTTCTTGATTTATGGACAATTTTAGCCCTACGTCAAATTCTTCTACATTTTTCCAATAAATTTGTAGGGTGTGTTACCGGGCACCAGTGTGTTAGGGGAATGAAGACAAAATACCTTCTATATCTATGCTATTTGTATAACTATGCGGATCGTGTTCAAGATGGTTGGATTAATCGAGCCAGTCTTGAAATTTCCTTTTCCTGGAAATTCTGGGATACAAATCATATCTCACGACGTGGTCAATGCTTGTGGAAAATTTTGACTAAATCAGAACGAAAAGAAAATGTTTTAACCGACTTCCAAAAAAGGAGGAGGTTATCATTTCTTCGGAATATTTTTTTTTTGTTTTTTATGTATGGAAAGGTAGTGTCTCAGAGGTGGTCCCATACTAATCTGGTTAAGATCCGATCAGTGGATCATGATATATATATATATATTTTTTTTATATGAGAGTTGAAGTTGGTTTTTTTTTGTTAAAAATTACTTGTTGAAGTAAAACTTTTTTAGCGGCGTTTGTTTGGTTGGGAGTAAATTTGCAAATTTATCGGAAATGATTCACACCGAAATGGTTGGGACGGAAATTGTTGCAACGGAAACAAGTGCTTTTTAATAGTATGCCCATTAGGGTGGTCCAAAATAAGTAAAGTGAGCAGAAAAGCGTGTTACTCAGGTGTTCGGATCGTATGGGTAACTTTCTTTCCTGCTCATTTTTCATAAAAAAAATTTTTGCGGATTTTCATTTGACCACTCATTATTTCTTATTTATTCATCGATTTTCTTGATTAGTAGCTTGATTTTTCTTTGTAACAGAACAGGCTTTAGCACAGATGCAAAAATTTGGCACAGAACCTGTTAGTTTTTAAACTTTTCATCTGTTAAATTTTAATTTTTTTCATTTTTTCATTAAAAAATAAAAAATAAAATGGAATGATTAATTAATTTTTCAGAAACAATAAGTCCTATTGGAAAGTGATGTATATACGGTTTATGGTGAATTTTATTATCTCTCATTTGCCGTACTTTATGTTAAGATTGTTACATTGGTTCGTAAGATATACGTGATTAAATTTTTGCTTTAACCAGAATAACGGTAAATTGGAAATATCTTGAAAACGTATCTATACAAAAAATTAACTCCATTTTCGGAATCACCGAGCATTTCTACATAGTAATTGGATAGTGGCATCCGCAGAACAGTTTTGCTGTAATCCAGGGTTATTATTAGTCCTTTCAGTATAAATAACAATTTATCTTTCTTAACTAGATGTGCATACGTTTTTCAATTGCTTTCAAAATAACTTGGTGTAAATACAGTAGTCCCCATTACCAGGGGATTCCATTAATTGATAGTCTTTTAATTAAAAAATTCGTTCAATTTAGACAACCTAACCAGTTAAAAGAAAATGCATAAATGCAACTGAACATACATAACAGAAAAGTGAAGCTAAGAAGTAATGCCAGATTGTGGGTAATTTCCCTATGTGAGTGATATTTTGCAGCAAAAATTATTAAAAGGGAAAACGGGACATTTCATATATAACAGGAGTTTTCATTTAAAACAATTATTAATAATCCCCGAAAATCGGGGTGCGCGTGGTAATAAATGTGAATATTTCTTTATTCTAAAAACCACATGCATTGCTTTTGGCAGTTAACTTTAACTTTGGTATTTTGGCAAGATCATACTCTACTCAATACGTATACAAAGCTGGCCATGCGGGGTCTAACTTTGAGACCTATTTATTTTTATTGCGGGCGCTACAATAATTTTAAATTTAAGACGTTTAAATGCAAATGGAAATGTTGATTCGCTAGACTGTTAATTTATATGGGGTAACAAAATTCGCTTCCCTTGCGAATCACATGTTTTAAGTCCATTAACTAACCCTTTATATATACATATTGGTATTAAGGTGTCCAAACCATTATATTGTAGTTCTTTAACTATTAGGCGAGACTATTAACTAACCTTTCAAATATACATAAATACATATCTAGGTTGGGGATCAACATCACAACTGCTCCAACTTTTAGTATCAAGTCATGAGGTGCAACTCCCCTACTACTCGTGCTCCAGTGGATATTCAGAACCGGCAGTAGATATCGACCCCATAGTAAAAATTTTCTTCTCCGGACAACATATTAACCATTTCTTTATTAACTACCGTACAGTGCTTATATTTTCTGACACGAAATTAACCGATCCTGGTTTCGATTAATTACACCAGGCTGAGATTCGAATACCTAATCCACTCGCAAAATAATCTCTTGTTGCACTTATCCTAAATTTTGAATCAGGCGCTTTTCTCTACCCCGCACCAGAATACTAAAATAATCAGATTTTTTGAAACGCATATTTATCGAGAGTGTAAAATAATTTACCGATCGCTCAGTTCGTCCGCCAGGATTTTTATTTAAGCTTTCCAGCATTTTAAAATTATACAAAATTAAAAATAAAGAAATGATATTGTTCAAAATTGTTGTTGTTGGAAACTGAAAATGAGAATGGGTTTGTGAGATTCAGTTTTACATTTTAAAATTGCTCAATGTAAAATTTTAAAAATCTTTCCGTGCAAATATGTACATCGAATAATTCTTAAAACTGAAATGTTTGTGCAAAGTTTCTGATCGAGCACCTTTATTTGAATGTAAATTGTCTCTGTACGATTATATATACATATATGTATATATAGATTTATAACATAAAACATCGAAATCAACCCCTAAGATTTATATATGGGTATGTGTACAGGGCAAAAGAAACATTCTTGTTTTGCAGATCTTCCGCTGTATCACATTCGCTTGAACATACA